CTGACTCTCACAGCAAGGAGTTTGGCACTTCAGAAGATGCTGTTTCTCCCCAGGCCCCCTCTCTCCTCCATCATCATTAAGGCTTTGTTATGCTCCTGGTGCTGGGGTTAGCTGCCCAAGACTCAACCAGCAGTGGCCCCTGCCTCCAAGGAGCTTCCAGTCTAGGGGGAAAAACCACAGCAGTGTGCAAAAAAAGGCTTATGAATAAATGGATAAGTAAATAGCTTTCAGGCCAAGGATGTATAGGTGCACATTCAAAAGGAAGAGATGATGGGAGTTGGTATATTTGAGAGAGAATGAGAGGAACTCTCTTTGTCCAGAATCTGTCAGATCAGATTAGATCAGATCAGGGGTGAACAGGTGTTCTTTGGAAGGTTTGTGAACCCCCTGAAATAATAAGAACAATTGGGCATCTGTTCTTCCCCGCATCCCATCCCTCCCAGGAGGATGGTCCATCCCATTCATTATAATCCTTAAAGGGGTATGATCTAAACAGGAGGCACTAATACTCCATCTCTCTTTCAATAAGACTTTGAAGACGTGTGCAAAGTGCAGTTTCACGAACGGTTGGAATATTGGAGGAAGACGGCAGTGGATGGCTGCTCTGGTCTCTGAGAATGGTGTGTTAGAAATTGAGATTTTTAAGCCGTCCTCATCCGGTCCCTTTGCTTAACATCAGGAGGCTGCTGTTTCTTCTCTGAATTTTCAACGGCTGCAGGAATTGGCTGCCACACATCCCCAGTCATCTCTCTCTCCAGCACAGGGCCCAGCCTCCCAACCATCCTCACTATGTGGACAACTATGCCTTCATCTGACCCCATCTGCCCAGCCCGTCTTCCACTGTGTCCTCTGGACCTCAGGGTCCATCCTTAGCATCCTGTGCCTTTCATGTTTCTATAATTGAAGCATGGCTATATCCTGAGGACACTTGGCCTAATGGCCGTCTCTAGAGGCAGCTGCTCTCCCTCACACACTGTGTTCTACGGATGCTGGAGGTGGGATCCCCAAACCTCCTCTTTACCTTTCTCTGTCAGAAGTCCTAGCCCCCTTTGAAGTGCATGCAATCTTTCTTTACCACCCTCTTCCCCTTCCTAGTGCTGTTGGCTACTGACTATTTGCTCAGTCCTCATATTCCTTCACATGCCTGGCTCCTGTGCTGCCTCCCATCATTTCTGTCTTCGGCAACTGTATAGATCACAAGTCCCATCCCCTTAGAGGCATTTTGGAAATGTATGGGGCTTGTTTTCTAACATAGACTTCCCCAGGTATTTATATTGACCTTTAAAAAATAATTATTTATTTAATTCCATTTGTTATTATTATTCTTAAATTTGACCAGAGAGAGAGAGAGAAAGAGAGAGAGAGAGAGAGAGAAAGCAAGAAAGCTAGCCACCAGGTTTGGGACTTGAACTGTAGTCAGCCATTGTGGGACTCCAGTGCCTTTATCTACCACACCTGTTGCCAGCACCTATTTTGACATTTTTATTGTTTTATTATAAATTACTTCCTCTTTATTTTTCTTCATATTGTTTATCAGGGCATTATATATTTTTTTAATTAAAGAAAGCATAGTAGTTGATAGTATCTGAGAATTTCATTTCAGGATAGGGAAGGAGGTATTAATGTACTTGTTATAAAAAGGGGGTCTGATAGCATTGAGGGTGGCTGATGCGGATAGTCAACCCAACTCTCTGGATTTTCTATTACCTCAAAGATTTATTTTTCCTCCAGCTCATATCAGCTTTAATTAAGTATATCACCTCCCAGCCTCAGCATCATGAGTAACCACACCACTTTCAAAACGTAGATTTAAACATCCCGGGTTCCTTCCATAGCACCTAATCTGTAGTTCACTGCCTCCAGTAGTTCTCCAACGTCCAGAAACCTCCAGGCACTGACTCCATGACTTTCCATTTTTCATTATTTTTTATCTTTTTGGGGTTCTCACTTCCTCCCCATCCTAGGTTCCGTGGCCCAGTGAGATAGTCACTACCCTGCATGCCCAATTGCTCAAAACACAATCTATGCCAGTTAAACTCAACTTTCTTCTTGGTCTACATGTGCAGCTGAGCAAATGTCTGAAAGTATAGAGAAAAATCACGCAACCAATGACTAGACTAAATTTATAGCCACGAATCTCAAATGGACACTCAACATGGTGAATAAAGTCTACCACTTTTTCTTTGTAAATTCTCTCTGCTACTTTCCATGGCAATGATTTCTCACCTCTCCTTTCTTCATAAATCTCCAACACATCTTCTGCCTTAGCAGGAAGACAGAGATGCACTTGGATAAGAACTACTCAATTTTCTAACTATCATTCCTACCTCTACCTTGTCTACTGATCCCATAGTCACTTCCCATTTTTATCTGAGCTGACCTCTTAATAACACTTAAGAGTTATCACTCTCTCTCTTAAAACACATCCTCGTCCAGAGTCTGAGATCTCCTTGCTTGCTGTTTTTGGATCTACCCCATTGATTGCTTCTTCAGAGCCTCCTTTGCTGGCTCTAACCCACAAAAGCCTCCACCAAACCTCTAAATAGCAGAAGCCCACAGCTTCATAATTGGCCCCCTTCATTCCCAAGCAGATCTCAGCCATACCCATGGCTATCAATTCCAAATCTACACTGATAGCAGGTCTCTTTCTAGGCTTTGGACTTGTATGCCCAATCATTCACTTGGCCTTTCCAGTTAGATCCCCAATAGACATCTTAAACTTGCCATGACCAAAACATAACCACTAACCACTTTGGTAGGCTGAATGATGGCCCCCAATGGCATTCAGTTCCTAATTTATAAACCTGCTGGCGTTACCTTTTGTGGAAAAAGAGACTTTGCCAAAAGTCCAAATTTGAGGATTTTTGAAATGGGAGATTATCCCAGATCATTTAGGCAGGATCAAAATGTAGTCAATCATAAGTGTTCTTACAAGAAGGAGGCAGAGGAAGATTTGTTAATAGAAGAGTGGCAGATTTGAAAATAGAAGAACTAGATTAGACTGATGTAAGGGAGAGGCAAATAGTGTAGGAAACTTCCAGAAACTGAAGAAGGCAATGAAACAGAGCTTCCCCTCTAGAAAAAAAAAACAGCAGTTATCCTGCTGACATCTTCATGTTAGCCCATTAAGACTGACTGCTTATCCCTAGAACTGTAAAAAAATACATTTGTGTTGTTTTCAGCCACTAAATGGGTGGTCATTTGTTATGGCAGAAAAGGGAAACTAATACAGTCACTACCATCAGCATGCAAATTTTCACCCCTGACCCTGAGGCCTTCCACAATTCAGCAAATGATGCCTCTCCTCATCTGAGTCTTGAAGACAAAAATGTCAGTGTTGGCTAGATTCCTTCTCACTCATACCTCACCTGTCAGCAGGTCTTTCAGCTCTATCTCCAATGTACTTACTGACTCTGTTTTTTTCTTACTGTCTTCACTGCTACAATGCTAGTCCAGGCCACCATCATTTCTAACTTGAATTGCTACTTTACTTCCTACTTGATCTTCCGTTCCTATTCTTGTCTCTCTCCAATATATCATTTTTACAATGGCTAGAACGAACTTTCTGAATGGTAAATCAGATCATATTATTCCCCTATTAAAACCCTTCAGTGGCTTCCCATTATACTCAGGATAATATGCAAATGTCTTGCTATAACCACAGATGGTTGCTGTTTTCCTTAACTCCCTTCATTTTCCCACTTCATTGACTGTGTGGTCACACTGACTTTTTTTTTTTTGGAGAGGTTTTCACTATAGGGCATGTGCACTCGCCAGACAGACAGAGAAAGATAGACAGAAAGCAAGAAATCACCCCCCAGGGGGATGGCCACGCCGCAATCCTTTCTCCTCCATTCTCCTCTCAGGATCTTGGGCACGCATGCACACGCGCCTGGCATGAGTTTTAAACTGCCGGGTCCCGGACGCAAACCACGGTCAACTACATGGGAGTCCAGCGACATAGCCATTACACTAACTGCTGGTCCCATGTCGCACTGACTTTTTATCTGACCCTGGTTCATTCCCTTCCTATGTCCTGGCCTTTGCACTCACTGCTCCTACCAGTAAAGTCCTCTCTCTTCCAATCTGCCTGAATCCCTCCTTCTCATCATTTCAGTTTCAACTCAAATATTACCTCCTCCAAAGAGCCTTTTCCACCACATTGCTTAAACAAGGCCCTAACTCAAACACTTGCAGATGGTAGTTTTTTTAATGCTATTTTGTCTTTCTCATAGTATTCATCAGCACCTGAAATAGCCTTACTGGTTTGTTTACATATTTATTGTGAGTCTATCCACCAGAAAGTAAACTCTCTGAGGGTGTGACTCTGTGTATCCGCAGTGCTAAGTGCTTGGCACACAATAGGCATGCCCTCATTATTTATTTACTTTGTTACCTGGTGTGGTTGATTTCCACTCTACCATGGCCTTGGTCACTATAAATGCATCAGTTATCTGTCCCAGAGGTGTCTGTATTTCAATAGCTCTGGACTAGGTTAATGCACACAGTTAACTAGGGTAATTTCAAACATCACACAGCAGGCATGGAACAACCAGGGGGTTTCTGTTATGGTGCTTTGAAAAGCACATGATTCATTCAACATCTGCGAAGTCCTGGGTGCCATGGATACATAATAAAGGGAGGAAAAGATATTTATATTATGCTTCCACAGATGAATTTAGATTTTGTCAAGCCAAGAAGGAGCAGGTTGGAGCCGAAGCAGACAAAGGCATTGCCTGTAGGTGCTCAACTATTTTATTAACTCAGTGTGGTAGCCTCTCTACCTTCTGCCTACTGAAGACTCATTTGTAGAAGCTAAGAATCTAGAGGTGGCAATCACGTGACTCAGAGCTGGAAGGCAGAACTGAAAAAGCACAGATCAAGTCAGTGAAAGCCCAGCTGACGCCAATGCCTCTATGCATTTGACTGTTGTTTCCTCCTGGCAGTGACTCCCTTTTTCTTACTTGGCCTTTGTTTTTCTCCTCTCCCTGCTGGCTCAGGTCTCATCATCCACGAGGGACCCTCTGTGTACCGCATCTTTAAACGGTGGCAGGCTGTCAACCAGCAGTGGAAAGTGCTGAACTATGACAAGACAAAAGACCTGGAGGATCAAAAGTCCGGAGGAAGGACAAACCCCCGGACCTCCTCATCCACCCAGGCCAATATCCCCTCCTCGGAAGAGGAGGCTGCAGGCACCCCTGCCCCCGAGGAAGGCCCTGCCAGAGCTGCCAACCACACCTCAGGCCCTCCGTCCCATCACCACTGTGCTTACACCATCCTGCACATCCTGAGTCACTTGAGACCTCATGAACAGCGGGGTTCCCAAAGCGGCAGCCGAGAGCTCGTCATGAGAGTCACAACAGTGTGAGAGGAAGACCTGGGAGGAAGTTTGTGACCATGCACAAGATGGAGGTTGGCCTGGGAAGGGCCAGGGAGCCGGTATGGGGAGGAGAGATGGTATCCAGAAGCCAGCCTAGAGAGTAGCACAGGGTGGCGGCCCTGAGAGCACCGTGGGGGCAGGCTTGGAGCTGGATTGAGTCTGGCACCAGAAGCACTTTGGTGAGTTCCAGTCAGTTAACACCATTCTCCAATATCAAACAGCAATGAAAACCAACTCAAACTCCATGATGAAGTGCAATACAGACTGAACCTAACCTAGCAAAATAGAACCGCCAGATGTACCCACAAACAGACACTAGGGAGAAGCAGAGACCGGGAGGGCAAAGCTGGTGTGACTGGCAACCATGCCCATGGCTGCATGTGCGCAGAGAGAAGGCCAAGAAGGAAAGCACTTGTAGCCTGCTCTGCTTTAACCTTGAGTTTGTTCTTGTTCCATAGGCAGTCAGGGGAGGGGAGGGACAGGTGCAGGCTGCCAGGGATGACATACAGTCTTTGGGGCATCTGGGCTCATCTGGGTGATAGGAATTGCTGGTTTAAAAGACTTTAGAGACTCTGGGGTGAAGGGGCAGGGAGGGAGATGTTAGTGTGAACAGTCAGAGAGAGAGTATGTCTCCTCTCTTAAGAGCCTTCCAAATCGAGACTCCCCATTTCAGGTGGGCTCAGAGAGGGTTATGTTGGGAGATGGGTGTCTTTCTGTGCCCCCTGTTACCTTATTTTATGGTGATTTGGCTCAAAGGTGTTTACAGGAAACACACATACACTTGCACACACACATAAACACATGTACACACACGCTTGACTAGAGAAAAATACATATTTCTGGTGAGTAAAGCATAGTCCTTCTGTAGTGGCTTTGGCCTTGGAAGCTGTCAATCCAGGAGAGACTTTTCTAACTCCTCAACCCCATTCACAGCTGAGACATGTTTAGTGCCATGTCCCTCCTGCTTGGCATGGGCAGAGAGCCAGGTCCTCCCACAACAGAGCATCCCTCACCCAGGGCCCTGCTGCAGTGGGTGAGAGAGGGAGTTGGCCAGTGTGCCCCAAGGAGTTGAGTGGAGTGAAGACCAACCTGAATATTCCTTGCTGTTTGGGATCCTTTGTGAAGAGGCAGTTTGGCTAGTGCTCAGTGCTACGTGCTCCCTGGTCCTTCCTGTGTAGTCAGGTGGACCCAGGGGTCCTGGCAGGGAGCACTGTCTTTGGAGCCCACTTGCTCATTCCCAGGACCCTGACAGGGAAGGCCACTGGGTGGTCACCTGCGGAGATTCTCGTCATTGCACAATGGCTGTGTCATCCGTGGGTATTAAAAGGACACTGTCAAGTACTTTTTTAAACTAGTTTTTAGGGTTTTTTTAAAACTCTCTGTTGTTTGTAATATTCTCTTAAAAGCTTGAAAATA